GTGAACGTTTAATACTGATATCGAATATATCTTAGTTTAGTGCCGAAAATATGTGAAACTAGATTTTAAACTTTCTCATGTAATAATTTTCGTTATTATACCAAACCTTATTTAATTAATGGCTTAGCGCTCAACATGAATAAAGGTGGTCTACCCCTTAGTCTTAATCTCATATTCCTAATATCATCAATCCCGATCTTCTGATTGACGTTTTGCACAGCAACTCAATAAATAAAATGTAGCCTTTTCGTTAAAGTTTATGACACATACTATATCTTATTTGAGAATACTTTTGATAATATTATTTTCATTCCTTCCTTTTTGTTTTTTGATTACTCTCTTTATTTATTATATCCTGAACAGAGTATGTTAAGTGGGCTACAATGTTTGTAACACCCAAAAGGAGACGGGAGCTTCCCTATAAAGTATAAGTATAAATGATCAGCGTGATGTGATGATCCTTTCGTCAGTCCATCTGTCCATATATAAGCGAACTAGTCCCTCAGTTTTGAGATATCTATCTAAAATTTTGCACTCGTCCTTTTTTTACCAAGAAACTACTCATTCGTCGAAATGATCGCATCGGACCAGTATAGCACTTAGCTGCCATACAAACTGAACGATTGGAATCAAGTGCTTGTATGGAAAACTTTATTATTTCACGAGATATCTTCAAGGCATTTGGCATAGATCAATATCTAATTCAATATTACAATATTCGAAGAAACTGTTCAGATCGGATCATTATTGCATATATAATAGCTGCCATACAAACGATCGGAATCAAGTACTTGTATGAAAAACTTTTTTATTTGCGAGATATCTTCACGAAAGAGGAAGCTATTGTCCAGGGCAACGCTGAAGTGAGCTCCGAAGAAATTTTTTAGATCAAGTCACTATAGCTATGTACCTTAAAAATTGTCCTTTTAAAGTTCTTGTAAGGAATCTTTTGTATTTTTGAAACTTTTTCTTGTATCTTATTAACTACCACCCTAGTATTAAGGTTCTTGTATGTTTGTATTTAATTGTGTGCCTGCCAAGCAGTCTCAATATGTGTTCGTGGCATTTTTTTATTACCTACAAGTTATTTACACACCTCCGCGACATTCACTTAAGTGATTGCTTGTAAGCGCCTGACTTTATGCTACAGTCACACACAACTACATTACACTTACGGCTGCTTGCTGTAATCAATGTAGCACACTCAGCTGCTATTCACACGCATCTTCTATATACGTAAACACACATAAAAAGGTACATTGTTTACATGCGTGTGTGTATTTATATATGTTGCTCGTTTAGTGTTGGCGATAATAAAAATTTCATTAAACTTGACCCGCTGCCAAGTGCGAACGCCAGTTATTACAACTACCCACATTTAGCCGAGGCAGCTGGCAACTGGTAACTTTGCCGCCACAAAAGTTGCCACCGGAAATGGTCAGCAATGAAAAGAAATGAAATGAAATTTCCAGCATTCATAAGCAGCCAACTAGCCGGGCGTAGCCAACAGGCAACAAACATGACAACACTCCGCCAATTTTTCGACCGCGCAAACTTCTTCCACACTGTGGCAGCGGCTACAGTAACAATGGCCGCCGCAGTAGTGACAGCAATAACGGCAAATACTGCCAATCTGTGCGTTCGTTGATTTGCACTTGCCACCTCGGAGAGAGAGAGATCTTACTCATTTTTAGCGCGTCTCTGCTGGCTTCAGCGCCCGCCTGAGGCATTTATGACGTCCGCTGCGAGTGCACAGTTTTCACACTTTAAATCATTTATGACCGTTTACGACATTTTTGTGTGCCATTCAAGTGAAATACGCACTTCTTCGTCCTTTTTTCGGTATTTTCGGCACTTTTTAACGCACTCACTGCCATTCGCTCATTCGATTAGTTGGTCGTTTGTAGCGTTTGCTTGCTGGCTAACTAGTTGGTTAAACCGGGTTGGTTGAGCAAAACCAGGTCATCTGGTTAAATGTCGTCACGGATATTGGTTGTATAATTTGATTTAAATCGATATGATTGCTGGAGTTTACTTGACTGGAAGCGGTGGCGTTGGTAAACATAAAGTGTGCGTGAGCAGATATTAATCTCCAAATACTTGAAAAATAATTGAATGTAAATCTTAAAAGGGTTCAATTCTGGTAAAAGCAAATTTGAGAAGTCGAATTGCATTAATAGTTATAAGTTCGCATAAAATATTATTTTTATAAGGAAACTAGATTAAGTTGTACGACGGAATGGAAAAAGAGTTGAAACAGGTATGGTTACTAACTAAAACTCTTTTCTCTTGGTTCTTTACCATACTAAGATATTAATAGTAATGTATCAAAAGTTTTAAATTTGCTATTCTTCGAAGAGAGAGAAACTCTGCAAAATATTTTAAGTGTTGATTAAAAGCATTCAATTTAATTTTCTTCGAAAAGATTAAAAAAGTTTAGTAACATTTTCTATATAATATTTCCACAGTTCATTTCAAACTTTCAATTAAATTTTCTTCAAAGAAGTTCAGTCAAATTCTTTTTTTGTAAAATATTTCGAGAGTTGATTTCCAACTTTTAGTGTTTACTGTTCTTTGAACACTTAGCAAAAGTTGAGTGCAATTTTTTGTAAAATCTTCCAAGTTTGGATTTCGTGTATAAATTGGCAGTGAAATTTTATATATAATATTTTAAGGTCTAATTTTGAACTTTTAATATACTATTCTTCGAAAGGCATGTACATAATATTTTAAACGCTGATTTTGAGATTTGATTGCTTTTATTCAAGGAAGTTAAGTAAAGTTGTCAATGTAATGTAATATTGCCAGTGCTCTTAAATTAACTTTTCTTGGAAAACATGGACATATGTAGGGTGATAGCTAAAGGTCTCATATAATTTTATGAAATCAATGAACGCACAAGTTTTCTTATTTTTATACTTATACTTATACTTATATTTATACTTATACTTATACTTATAAGGGGTATATTAAGTTTTCTACGTTTGTAGACTCTACATAAATGATCAGCATGACGTTTCGAGTCGATTTTGGGATGCCTGTCTGCTCGTCCGTCTGCCTGTCCGTATATACCTAATTTAATTATTGTCCGTAGCGCTACCTATAATCCCTGAACAAATTGTTTAGATTGGACCTCTACAGTATATAGCTACAGTATGAAACTGACCGCATAAAAATCCTGAAAAATTCATTTTTATACCGTTTCATGCTACAAGTATAAGAAATACCCCTGTGAAAGTATTATAGCTTCGGTGCTATCTGAAATTTACATTTTTCTTGTTTTTTCTTGTTCAACCATCTCGGAGGGTACAGAGATATTCGGCAAAAATATTTGCCTTGAGATCATTAATGGTTTAATAATTATTTCTGGAAGCCCAGTCAGTGTGGGTTTGACTTCAAGCGATGAGAACAGGGAATTTTTGTTGCAGAAACCGAAGATTTATTAACGCCCCACTTTACGGGACCTATTCCGGTCCAAGTTTGGTTTATTTTGGTTTTAGAAAACATTCTATGTTCCCCAAAAATGGAAAGTAAATAATGAGCACCCTATAATTATAATATAGGTATAATCAAATTAGTGTGTATGCAAAATTATTATCAAAATTCCTGCTACCCGAACCCGCACGCAACATAATCCTGAACAACAAATTGACGCTTATTAATAACGACAGGAGGAAACTGTAGACAAAATGCCGGTGACAAGGGTGCTTTTAATGGCGACACCAAGAAGTCAATATTAATATACTTATATTTAAGACTTGTGCGCCGATAGCGCCCAACAGCAGCTGCGGCATATTTCCCAATACAAGTATGTACGTATGTATGTATGTGAGCTTATCTTAATATTTATTTTGCTTATTGCTATTTGTTGTTATTTCCACTTGACCAAAACAAATGAGGAATGACGTATTGGACTTTCGGTGACATGTTGCCAAAGCGCTTCGGCTGGTTGTCTGGTTACTTTAAGATTATCTGTGTACAAGTCAGACAATATTTGTAAGTATTTTTGCTTAATTTTCCACACATACATACACTCTCATATTGTAACTGTTACTGTTACTTCGTTTTGTTGCAGTAGTCAAAATAATTCATGGTAGGAAGAAACAACCACATACGACTGTCTCGCTCACTGTATGTATTTTACTCTTATGCGCTATTTTTGGGCTTATATAAAAAATTGTTTTTTTCTTCAACTACTAAAATATATTTCTATTGCCTAATTCACGAGAAGAAAAGCGGAAATCGCCTAACGGTCGGTTAACTACAGGTTTGTAGTAAAATCGATGCGGCAGTCGTCGGTGAAATCGATTGCAATAAATCAATCAGCGTGTGAGCGCGTCGGAAAGGGCGTAAACAAACTAGGCAGCGAGGGAGACGCGTGTCTTAGATATTTCACTGGAGATAAAGTGCCTGGGCAGGAAACGTGACAGGAAGGAAACGGAAGCGCTTACTTACGGGGCTTACCAGTGTGAGCGCTCAAATGTAAAAGAAATCGTAGTGTTCCACAAAGCAAAATAAGATAAAGCGCAGCAAGACGACAGAAATATTACTTCTGGCCCGAAGTTAAATATTTAAAAAATGTTGCACCATTAATTTCCAGCTGATGTGCGCAGAATTGACCAAGGCCAATCGCCATTGACTTATCGAAGGCGAACACCAAGGGATTTTGATGGCAATGTAAAAAGCTTTTGTTGGTAAATGTGAGGCATAACAAAAAAATTTACGCATAAGACTGGTTGAGGAACTATTGCTTGATTTTATACTTATGCCGTACACACAATTGCGAAAGGCAACGGATGGCGGGCTATCTAGTGACATGTATGAATATGCCGGCAGCTATTTTTCCGGCGTCAAAATAATTAAGTTTATTCCTATTTTTTTCATCGCTTCAAAAACTTCAGGGTTGCTTTTTTGATTAGGAGCGCCAATTTGGCAAACGAAAAACGCGCACAAGAAGAAATAAGCAGCAAATACACGTATTTACGAATTTCTGTTGCAAAATTTAAGTGTATTTCTCTATAAATAAATAGATTTCAAACTATCCAATTATAATCATATACAATCAAGATTATAAAAGAAGCGCTGAAATATAAGTGCATCTATGATTTGTCGCTAAAGGATTACCGGAACGTATACAAGAAGGACAAAATTTGGGAGGAGTTTGAGAAAGTTTTAAATGAAAGCTGTAAGTTGAATTGCATTCGCAAAATGTTTTAGTTTTTAATAATTTTGTGTTGTTAGACATTTTTAGCAGACATTTGTAGAAGACGATGAAAGAGTGTCCGAGATAACTATCAAAAAACTAAGCGTGCTAACGACTTAGCGTCCGGCGGTGTCGCACCAATATCCAACAAGATGGATAACTGTAAAGGTTCGAAGCAGTAAGTCTTGCTGTTAATAGCTTATTTAATATAAATAAGATTTTAAAAAAGCTTTTTCATCTCTTTGTTTAGAACTGTCGAAAATGTTGAAATACAAAAAGGATAAATTTTCGAGGAAATAAATTCCCCAATTCTCCACCTTCATGATCGTCATTCAACAGTATGTTTTTTCTCTTATTAAACACAAAGCTTACTGATTTAAAATTGTTCAATGTATTTCACAGATACAACTTCCCGTGGAAGGTTAACCAAGCGGCGATACGATGCTGAACTCAAGGCTAGTTTTACCAAGCAATGGTTGTTTGTGTTGCCTCCACTTCTGAGCTTACCAAAATACTACCTACTCCAACGCTCGCACTTTTTTAAACTTTTACGGGCCAGCGTTGCAAATAATGCATTCAAAAAATAATTGAATTAACATTTGAATCAAATATATTTTTTTTATGTAATCCCAAATACGGAATTAAAAAATATAAAAGAAGTTTTAATCCCGCTTACCAGATTAAAAAAAAATTAATCCACATACCTAATTAAAGAATAAACAATTTTTTTTTTAAATGCAACCCTGATGTTAACTTATCCGAAGAATCAACAGATTAGAACCTAAAATAATGTTTGTACTACACGAAAAATTCGCTAAATGTTATAACTAAATAATAACATGAATATGTCCAATAAGAGTGATAAGATTTATTTTCAAAAAAAAACATGCTAATTGTTAAGGAAATTCAAATCTTTGTTATTTAGTGTGAAATACAGTTGATACAATTAAGTTCTAAATATAACATCATTTAAATGGCCTTCACGACTTCTTTTGCAGGAACGAATTCGATGAACCCAATTTTCGAGTACTTTTTTCACAAAATCAAGTCGCATATCACGAAAGCACGTTCAATATTGACTTCTAAAGCTTGAAGAGAGTCTGGTTCATGACCTAAAGACCAATGACTTCAAATAACTCCACAAAAAGTAGTCAAATGGTGTTAAATCACAACTTCTTGGAGGCCATTCAATGTCACAATTTCTTCAAATTATCAAATCTTTAAATTTTTCTCGCAATAATTCGGTTGTTGCAAGTGCTGTGTAGCACGTAGCCCCTTCCTATTGGAACCAGATGTAGTCAAGATCAACTTCTTCCAATTGCGGCCATAAAAAGTTGGTTATTATCGATCTGTACCACTATCTATTGACAGTAACGGTGTCACCAGCTTCATTTCGAAACAAGTACGGAACGATGATGCCACCAGACCAAAAACTACACCAAGCTGTCACTTTAGGTGAATATAATGGTTGTTCATGAATAATTTGTAGATTTTCTTCGCACTAGAATCGACAGTTTTGTTTATTTACCGCACCACTCAGATGAAAGTGAGCCTCATCGGATTCTTACAAAAATCGTTATCGTTGTCAAGTTGTTCCAAGGCAAAATCAGCAAATTCACGACATTTACTGTGATCCAATGACTCAAGTTCTTGAGTGAGAACAAATTTATATGGATGCAAGCTGAAATTCTTTCTCAAAACCCGCAAGGTTGTGGTTGAAAAAATTTACAGATAATGACATATTAAAAATGGCCGAAACGATACTTAGCAATCATATCAACAATGTTGGAAAACCCGATATATGTATATTGTAAGTATGCTAGTTTAATATACTCATATATTGAATTATCTTCTTGGGAAATTAAGACACAAATGTGCTTTAATTTAATATTCAGTAGTTTGGTATCTTTTTAAATACGAATATACAGTACAAATAAACAATAGAGTACAATACATGTTGATTGCTGCACTCTCGTGATATTTTTCTGTTGAAAAGAAGGTTCTTAGGGCGTACCCACCAACTTCTTTTCAACCGCTTGCTTGTTTCAATTTACATTTCATACATTGTGTCCATTATGAAAAGCCACGGAAATACCTTCAGGTGCATAATAAACATTATTATATTAGAACAACGAAAATCATAATATGTAGTATGTAGAAGTTTGAGTAATTTGTAGACCAATTTCACATATTTTCGGCATTAAACTATAGTATATCCAATACTATAAGTACAGTCAATTTTTGTAAAGGTATCTTAGTTATTTGCCGATATATGCGATATATGAAGTCAGCCGGTAGTTCGAAAATATTTCTATTAGGTATAAGGGGGCTAAAGAAATTATTGACCCGATACAACCCATTTCTGACATATAGACATATTAGTATCAAAAAAGGATTCTCTTCGAATTCCTATAATATATCACAGATTGACCGACCTTTTCGATAAAATGTTTACTGTAGGAACTGGGGTCCACATATCCGGTACCTGGGGGTTGAATAACTTCAGTCCGATTTCGACCCTTTTTGGTAATAAAGTAGCACATCTCAAAGGCACTATACGTGCCAAGTTTTAATCTTATACATACATTGGTGCTTGATTTGCATATTTAATGGGGTACTCTAGTCTAGAATACAGGAAAAAATCAAAAAACAATAAAAGTTAAAAATTTCAAAAATTAGCAGATAATTATGGGGGGGAGTGCTTAAATAATTTGCACGTTACCATATTCACGATTTCAACTCTCCTTTCCATCTGAAACCAAAAAAAAAGGAAATAATAAATATTAATCTATAATAATGTCACAATGTTTGGTTCTACGGAAAAGTTGGAAAAGAATTTCACGAACTGACTGAAAAAGAAACAATTTTTGGACCAGTTTTTTGACTGTTTAGAATTTTTAAAAATAGTTCAAATTTGTGTATATGGATAGTTCTCGTCATATACAAGTCTACAAAGAAGACTCTTTAAAAATTTCAAGCAAATCGCTTCAGTAGAACTTGAAAAACCAAGGGTATCGTTTTGAAAAAGACAGTTACGAGAAAAACGCGTTCAAAGTTTTGCGTATACCTATATCACCGTATACCTACATCTCACAAAAATAATTTGAATTTCGAAACATGCTCTTGTAGACATATTCTTAAGTAGTTAAAATTTGAAAAAGTATAGTTTTTAGTTGTTATTTCTAGACTAGACCCTTAAGAGAGGAACCAATATTGCTATCTGCCGCCCGCTTTTATAAAACATGTCAATACTGAAAAAATAGGTACTATGACAACTCGTTTTCGATACCGTTTTTAGAGTGTGTTTGATAGGAAAATAAGTTAGCATATGACGTCATGAAAGAGAGAGAAGAAAAACTTTATTCGTATATAACCTGTTGTAACCTGGGATCTATCATTATTGGAACCAAAGTAAAAGTAAAGTTTACAAACAGCTCCACAACCTGATGCGGGTCTTTGCTAGCTGCAATTTAATTCTCCATTTATTTCAGGTCAATAGACAAAAGATATTCATCCCTAAAGTAGATGATATCATATGGCTTCAGCACACAGGAAACATTGTAACAGTATTATTAAAATTTTGTCATGAGTACACATAATTGATCCATATTTAAATAAATTCAGGGTTCACAGGGAAATCATAATTCTCTTAAGTCTAAATTTTAGAATACATAAAGCTAATAAAATCTGATCTAGAACATTGGTCTCCAGAGCGTTTTACACAGTTTCTTAATCTATTGATCCGTACCTGGCATTATCGATGACAATAGGTCAAATGGACGATGTCAACAATACCGATGCACACAAACGAAAAAAGTTTCCTGATATGATATCGTCCCTGAAAAAAATCTAGAATCTTAGCAAACAACAAGCGTATATTTTTAGTAAGTACGGTTAACAAGTAAAAATCAGAGGATTGACTTTGTTAGCTAAGATCAACAAATGAACATGGTTGTGTAGATTTGGTATTAATCTCCTGTATTCAAAATTAGCACAATATAATCGTATGCCTGTGGTCTAAAAGGTAATGTTATCATAAGCACTGTCACATGATAACTTAAATTCACATAAGTTCTAGGTTGCTTCGTTTTTTTCATTATCATAACCATAAACTTCATTGGCAGCAGATTCGCCAGATAAAGGAATTTTTTTGTATTAGGTGATTTGGTTTTATTGGGCAGTAGAAGTGATTAGTATCATGTATGTATGTATTGGGTTTGTCTGGGTTCAGTCTGAATAAGTTTAATCTAGTACATTACAAGGAACACTGTTGGTACGGGAGGTCGATATGCTTCCTAACTAAAAACAGACAGGCCTTACTAAAGTGTGGTATGTTGGCATGTTTATAGCTTTTTCAATAGCAATTGACTAGTTCCAGGCGCCGCTGCATACTTCAAGATCGCACTGCTGGTTACCTTATGTGGAGAAAGCTATACAAGTATTTCTCTGCTTGTTCTTAAGTACTGTAGTAGTCTCTATCTTGGTATCTAGGTCATCGACAATGAGGTCCAATCGCTACGCCATCATCCAGTTGATGAATAGGAACACCGAGGGTCTAGTAAATCAAAGTACTAGATTCCAAGCATAAAAGAAGCGACAAAAGTCGAAGAGATAATTGTTAATTATATATGATTTGAGGAGAAATGGTAATGTTATAAAGAATTATGGTACAAGGTTGTTCTGACAAGGAGACCAAATATATTTTGGTTTTTTGTTATTAGAGTTAAAAGACAATAAGCTTTGAAAGTGGTAAAAAATTAAAAAAATTCATAGCAGGGTGAAACGCATTGGAAACGAAACAAAATAACAAAAATTAAATGAAAAATTATTTACGGGCGTTCCAAGGTCGGGAAGAGAAAGGAAAGGGCGTGATTGAATGTTTAGGTGTTAAAACGGCTTAGGCCGATTTCCGGCAAAACTACGTCCTATAGAAAAAAAAACTTCAAAACCAACGTTTTTATATCTTTTATAAAAAACTTTCTCTCACGAAATTTACTCAAAAAGACTGTATTTTCCTTAAAATATTATGGAATAAAACTTTTTTCGATATAAAATTGAAAAAAAAACGAATTTTCAATAAAAAATGCTCACGTTAAAATATACGAATTTTTTAAGAAGCCAGCAAGATTTATGTTTGTTCAAATCTCTACTTTCTGATGGTATAAATGAATATATATTGTACATTCCTATGTTAACTGTTCTTATAAAATAATCACACTTTCTTTGATGATGAATAATTTCATTTACAAAAACGGCAAATGTTTTTATGCAGCACAAAATTCATTTAGCAATAATATTCTTTACATACAACAAAAGTTGACATACGAGAATCATTAATCTAAAAGTCTGGACCTTTTTCCAAGCGATATTTGGCCACATTTACTACATAAACAAAAAAAACACAACAGCTACATCACTTACGACTCAAATCGGAATACGTCTCACAAGCACCGCACTTTATGGCGCTCACTCAAAGAATCATAACTCGTTATGTTTATGAAACCTAAAATTTCACTATAAACTACAATATAGCCATTCGAAATGCACTGGAATATCTAAAAAGCGAGAATTGCGCTTGTGAAAT